AAAAAAAAAAAAAAAAAAGAAGAGAAGAGAAGAGAAGAGAAAACAAAGAAAGAAAGAAAAGCAGTTGAGAACAGGTGTACCGTGATCCTCCCCGCGTCCCAGGGGTTTGTACCTTTCAACTAGAGCTGCCTCCAAGGCCCAGGAGGTGCGTCACATCATTTACAAGCCGGCACCTGCATATTCCTCAAGACTTCCCTCGTGACGCGCCACATGCTCTTGCTCATCGGACTGTGCACATCACCCCCACTGGCCCTGAGCAGTTTTTCTCCAGAAAAACACATTTGCCCACTGATGCTCCCTTTTGGCCAATGTAACCTTTCATTGGATAGTCCTTTCTGAACGAAAGGGACAAGTGGGAGAGCTGCATGTTCACATCTTCCCTGCAATATCAGAATGTCCCCGTCACCATCACCAAGGTCACCGCCTGCTACTCCTGGACTTAGACAACACAGTCCAGGTGAGCCCAACATCTGTGCACAGCCGGTGCTGTTTTCACACTGGAGCTCCATACACATGTGTTTGTCACACTTACGGTATTATCGCTTTCAGACAATGTTGAGCGGTCGTCCTCCGGAAGATCTTAAGTGGCTGTGATCACCATGCGCAGGAGCAGCGACTACGCGGCTCTCAGCAGAGACAAACCAGGGTTGTTGAGCTCATCTGTGAATTCATTCAAAAGCACAAGAGTCAGGAATGGAATAAGCACATGCTGGAACACTTAGATGAAATAAGCGCTTTCTTGCCTAGAGGATTCCTCTTCCTGAGTTTCTTCTTCCCACTCTCCGCCTAACTCCCAACCATCCTGTCTCCATGTACTGCCACTGCCTCAAAGAAGCCCTCCATGATTACCCCGCACAAAGGAGGCTCCCCCTTGCTGGATACTATAGCACCTTTTCCCCGTTGACAGCAATTATTACTATTTGCAATAATATACCTATTTAGTCATCTATTTACCGCATGGTTGCCCGCCCAACATGTTCCAAGGATCCAGAGGGCAGGGCCCATTATATCACCGGTTTGCCACAGCAAGCACTCAATAAATGTTTCCTGAATAGGGCTGGGGTTACAAAGTTTTCACGATACCTGTTTTCACAGTGAGCTAAGCATGCTTACCTGTTTAAATGGTTGATAAAAGAAAAACACTTTGTGATACAGGAAAAATACACAAGAATCAAATTTCAGCGTCTGTAAATAAAGTGTATTGGAACACAGCTATGTGTGTTTACGTTATTATCTATGGCTGCTTTTGTGCTACCATGCCAGAGTTGACTAGTTGTGACAGACATTGTCTGGCCCAAAAAGCTAGAAATATTTACTATCTAGCTCTTTACAGCAGGTTTGCAACCTCTGATATGCAGCCCTAGACACGAAAGACACGAATTGCAAGTGAGCTCAGAAGAAAGCCGAGAAGACAGCTTTGAACCTACTGAAGAATTTTCTTTTTAGTTGTTGACATTTAGACAAAAACTACTATATGTCTTGAACAATTTATTAGTGTATAAATCTATTGTTTATGCTTTAAAATATGAAGTGTAATTCCACTTGGTAAAAAAATATCCACAGGAGAATATCAGAGAAAAATGACTATTCTATACATTTTTGTAAATGAGGATTTTGCTTTATTGAAGTGAAGCTTCCAGCAAGAATTTCTTAGGTTCCATCAGAGTCTCAGAAATGTTATTTTCATCCCCCAGAGGTGGCATTTTCAACTGTAATCCATCTTTCAGCATTGCTTTTCATGCTAGATTCTTGTTGAGATGGAACACTGTGCTATCGACATTGACCTTCCACCTCCCACAGCAGGAATGACAAAGCCACTGGGCAGGGTCATCTCTTCGGCTCACTCACTGTGACATGAGTAGGCAAGACCACGATCACTGAGATGCAGATCGGAGGGATTGGGAGATTCTTCTTGCGAGGTAAGAAAGTGCCGGATCATCATTCCCCTTCCCCCCTGTTTTTTGTCCACACCGTTTATTTACAGAAAGTAGATTTCAAGATATCAACGCGGCAGACCTTGGACCACACATGATATACTCCGCACTTAGGACCCCCGGAGAGTAATAAAGAAGAAGAAAGACTTCTGAAGGGATTATGTCACACAACCTATCACGGCGGCATTGCCAGGAAGCGCCTACACCTGCAGCAGGAAACAGCACGATGGAAAATCGCACGGCCCGCGCTCAGAGGACATTTTTCGAAAGAGTCCCAGAGGGCTTCTCACCCCCAGAGCAATTTCACCCCACAGGGAACATTAGGCAACGTCTAGAAACATGTTTGGTTGTCACAACTGGGTGGCTGCTCATGGCATGCAGCAGGCGGAGGCCAGGGTTGCTGCTAAGTGTCCCGTGATGCACAGGACAGAACAGGACCACAAGGAACTATCCGGCCCAGCGCCCACCCCAACAAGTTATATGAAAATAGGTGTCTTTAGCACCCAAGCTATAGTCAGGGAGCAAGAAGACTGAAGACAATCAAGAGGTTAAGTCTGCTTTATCACGAGCAACTCACATTCGGATTCGTTTGTGAGTTCGGCAACAATAGGCCCACTTTATTCCTCTGACGCTCTGTTTATGTATAATCCTTGTAACTGACGCTTGCTTGGCGACTGTTTTCACCATTCCCATCCCCTGTTCAAATGAGCTTTCACTTGCATGATAATGAAAATGACAGCGATCTAAGGATGCCCTCGGGACCTGCCATCCTTTGTCCATGACTCTGAGACACAAAAGCCCTGAAAACTGAATGATTTTTGTAACTTCCATTTCTTTATTTGGCAGCAAAACCCAAACTGAACTGACGCGAGGCATCGGTCTTGTCTCAGCCCACCGGCCTCTGCTGTTTGCTAGTGTTATGTTGCTTATTTGTGACGTTAGGTTTAACTGCACCGTGAACATGTCAAAAAGAGTTAATGACATCCATCCCATGTGTAACAGTGAGAAAAGCAGAGACAGTGTCTGTCCTTAGCAACAGCCCAGAAGTGTAGCTATTAAGGAAGCTGGGTCATGATCTAGGACCACGGTAATGAAATAGAAACACAACTTGTTGAAATTTGACTGATTAGTTTGCCACAGGGTCACCAATCATCCCAGTTTGTCCAGGACTGATGGGTTCCAGTTTCCAGACTGGGACAGTCTCATGCCAACTGGGATGAGTAGTCACCCTACTTTCTCATGAAAGGTTCCAGAATATTCCAAGTAAGAGAAAACGCTGAAGGCAAATGTGAATATTTAGAAGATTGGCTGAAGGAATTTAAGAAGCTAAATGGAAATCCAGGGTGCGAAAATGTATTTTGAAGACAAAGACAGAATGTGGTGTTGAGGAACTTGCACAGAGAACATCCTTGGTGGATGCTGTGGTCTGAACTCAGTGCAAACTGAGGTCTTCTTCCCCCAGCTGCTGACGGTGCCAGCTACGTCTGCCTTTGGAAACTGCCCTTAGCCAAAGAGAGCTGCCTTTGCCACGGTGATGGAATCTCCATGCCTCAAGGTGAGACAGCTCTGAGGGACCTTCCCAGCTCCAGAGCCCCCTCTGAAATGGGCTGAGGCCTTGGTTGCAACAGCATGGCGGCCCAACTCCTCCATCTGGCTCATCCTCTTTCCCCACCCCTCCTGCAAGTGTGGATCCCAAGAACACACCCCTATAAAACCTCCCAAGCACAGTTCTCAACTCAGAATCTATTTCCTGGGACTCAAGGTAAGACAGTATCTGATAAAACAAACAAACCAAACTTTTATCCTGAACATATATACAATGCTAATCAAACAGCCCCATCTTGCTACTAAGTTATAACCCTAGCGAAACCCTAACAAAAGCCAACGGGAGAGAGGTCTGCAAGCTCAAGCCAACAGTCCTTCGCTGTGTCGAAGCTTTAGGCAAATCAAGATACAGTTGTCAGAGATTGGAAAAAGCCAACGTCCACAGTGATAGAAATGTGAGCTCCATTTACCTATTCATCATCCTGCAAAAAGAAGAACTTCCTGAGAAATAGTTTCTAAGTAGTCCAATAACTAGTATACCACTAGCAGGCAATCTGGGCTAAAAGAAAACCATAAAATAATACAGTTTCTGGTATGTCCTCTACCCTCAGATTTATTTCAAAATACAGTGTTTTCAGTACTGATCTTTTCCTCAGTATGAAATCTACAATTTGGCTTTTTGACCAAGGCATGCTATATTCCATGAAGAGCAGACATATATTTTCTTCAACTCTATGTTTGCTATACACTGATAAACGTGAGAATAATATTAATAGTAACAATAATGGTAATGGAATTGTGAACGACAGTGAAAAGAATTCCATAGAACAGGAGTCACCAAACTATGGCCCACGGGCCAAACCCAGCCCGCTACCCATTTTTGTCAATAAAGTTTTATTGGAACACACCACACCCATTCCATTGTATATTATCTGTGTCTACTTTTGCACTACAATTACAGAGTTGACTGCATGATCCGCAAAGCTGAAAATGGTAACTATGTGGCCCTATACAGAAAATATTTGCCAACTCCTGACCTAGAAGGTAAAGTTAGAATGTGTGATCTGTTAATTCTTGGCCTCAAGAACGAGAGGTTAAGGCAATTTCCTCAATTAGAGAGAGAATACTCTGAGAGAAACCTAGCTTCCCAGGACAGGTGACAATGGGCAAAGTCTTTTAAAGGGTCACTTTTCATGTTACCATTTTGTCCTTGGAGAATCTTGTTCCCTGCCCATCAATACATGGCCAGCTACAGCATGATGGGAAAGCTATGACAGCCCTGATATAACCTCTTCTCAAACGAACCGAAGCATTCAGATGTCATGAATAGATGTTGCAGGTATGTGTAAAGTCATTTAACTTATTTCGAATTGGCTCTACCTGATGTTTTACTTAGAAATAGGAAATACCCCGGGTATTTATGGTCTATCATCACACCACCAGTGCGTTACTATATAAATGCACTTTAAATTAACTATTAGACCATGTGTAGCCTCCATGCATCCCACTGGGAGGAATAGTCATACATTTTCCTGCAAAAATATTAATGTGTGTGATTATTGAATGTTGCTCCACTTGCTGAGGGTGTCGTGGGAGGTACAGTAAGGGCACATATTACCTTTCTAAAATATGCATAATCGAATTCCAAACACACCCAGCTCTACAGGTTTCAGATAAGAAATTGTGGATGTATATCAACATTCAGCATGCATTGAAAGCCTGTGTTGCCCGGCACTGTGGAAATACTGGAATTCAATCAAAGCGAGTGTTGGAATGTCACTCTATAATGAAGAACAACTGGAATTATCAGACCGAATCAGTCGCATTCTTAATTCACAGAAACTCCTCTCTTGCAGGAGAAAATTTCTAATTGCCAGCGTGACTATCAATCGGCAATTAAAAATTGTCAGAAAGAGAAAGAACAGATTCTGCGTGGTTATTTTCCCACTTCACACAGTGGGGATGTAACCGAACACAAGTCTGGCTACGTAGCACTCGGAAAGCCAGGCCGGAGAGACAGGTGTTGGTGAGAGGAAAAGAGGGTGTATTCAAGAGCCGGCAGCCTGCGGAGATGGTGGACTCATATGTCAAAGACCATCCCAAATTCCTCAGTCTGCCGAGAGGTTTTAAAGGGAAAGGAGTTGCGGGAAACCATGTGCAGGTCAGCGTGCCTTGTTCCGG